GTCAAAAGACACTGGCTAAGTGAATGGATTAAGAAACATCCCACCTCTGCTGTCTGCAAGAAACCCATCTCCCCTTCAAGGACAGGCACTACCTTAAGGTAAAAGGATGGAAAAGAATATTCCAACCAAATGGCACTAAGAAACAAGCAGGGGTTTCAATTCTAATATCTGACAAAATAGACTTTAAACTGAAACTAACCAGAAGAGACAAAAAGGGCTATTTCATTCTGATCAAAGGAACACAAGAGGATACTACAATCCTTAACATATATGCACCAAACTCTGGTGCACCTAAATTCATAAAAACAACACTACAGGACGTTAAGACACAGATTCACCCCAACTCAGTAATAGTAGGGGGCTTCAGTACCCAGCTGTCTCCATTATACAGGTCAACTGGACAGAGAATAAGCAGAGAGATGTCAGAATTAAATGATACCATACATCAAATGGATGTAACAGATATCTTTGGAATAGTCCACCCAAGCACCAAAGAATATACTTTATACTCAGCACCCCATGGCACTTTTTCAAAAATTGACCACATACTGGGCCACAAAACAAATCTCAACAAATACAAAAAAAAAAAAAATTCTATGAGACTACAGTGCAATAAAGCTCAAAATCAACACTGGACAAAACTCTAGTTACTACATGAGCTTGTGGCAATTGAATAACACACTCCTAAACAATGAGTGGGTCAAAGAAGAAATTAAGAAAGAAGTAAAAGAATTTCTGGGATTCAACAAAAAAAGGACAATACAACACAAGACAACCTCTGAGACACTTTAAAATTGGTCCTAAGTGGGAGGTTTATAGATCTACGTGCCTACATTAAAACATTAGAAAGAGCCCAAATAAATAGACCTAACACTGCAACTCAAGAACCTGGAAAGGCAAGAACAAATGAAACCCAAACCTAGCAAAAGAGAAGAACTAACAAAAGTCAGAGCAGAAATTAATGAAATATAAACAAAGAAAACAATACAAAGAATCAATGAATCTTAAGAGCTGGTTCTTTGAAAAGCTAAACAAGATAGACCTTTAGCCCAGTTAACCAAAAGAAAGAGCAAATCCAAATCAAAAGCAGAGATGAAAGGGGAAACATCGCACTAGACACCCAGAAGATCCAGACTATTATAAGGGAATATTTTAAAGACCTATACACTACTAACTTTGAAAATCTAAAAGAAATGGATGGATATTTAAAATCTTGGGAACCACCAAAGTTAAACCAAGCAGAGATCAATAGTTTAAACAGACCCATAACATACAAGAAATTGAAACAGTAATACAAAGCTTCCCAACTAAAAAGCCTAGACCCAGATGGATTTACAGCAGAATTATACCGGACATTTACAGAAGATCTCCAACCAGTACTACTTAAATTATTCAAAACGATAGAAACAGAGGAAGAACTCCCAAATTCCTTCTATGAAGCCAGCATCACTCTAATACCCAAACCGGGTAAAGACACAACCAAGAAAGAAATCTATAGACCCATATCCTTAATGAACATAGATGCAAAAATTCTCAACAAAATACTTGCAAACCACATACAAACACACATCAAAAAGATCATACACCAGGATCCAAGTAGGTTTTATCCCAGAGACGCAGGGATGTTTCAGTATACACAAGTCAATAATTGTCATTAATCATATAAATGGACTCAAAGAGAAAAACCACATTCTCATCTCAATAGATGCTGAAAAGTCTTAGAAATAGCATGGTACTGGCACAAAAATAGACACATAGATCAATGGAACATCACTGAAGATCCAAACCTGAGTACACGCAATTTCAGCCACCTGATATTTGACAAAGGTGCCAAGAACACACAGTGGAGGAAAGACAGCATCTTCAACAAATGCTGTTGTCAAACTGGTTCTGCATCTGTAGAATGAAACTAGATCTTTCACCTTGCACAGAAGTCAACTCCAAATGGATCAAAGACCTCAGTGTGAAACTGGAAACCCTAAAACTATTAGAAGAAAATATTGGCAGCAACTTACAAGATACAGGTGCAGAAAATGATTTTCTAAATCAGACAGAGTTGCTCAGGAATTAAGATCACCAATCGGCAAGTGGGACTTTGTTAAACTAAAAAGCTTCTGTACAGGAAAAGAAACAATCAAAAAAATGAAGAGAAAACCCACAGAATGGAAAGAAATCTTTACCAGTGACACATCTGACAGGGGTTTAACAACCAGAATATAAAAGAACTCAAAAAGCAAAAAATAAGAGAAACCAAATGACCCAATGAAAAGATGGGCTCAAGATCTAAACAGTGTTATCAAAGGAAGAAATAAAGATGGCTAAGAAACATCTCAAAAAAGTGTTCCACATCATTAGTAATTAGGGAAAAGCGAATTAAAACCACCCTAAGGTATCTCCTTACCCCAATCAGACTGGCTAGAATCAAGAGAACAAATGATATCAAATGCTGGCAAGCATGTGGAGAAAGGGGAATGATCATTCACTGCTGGTGGGATTGCAAACTCATGCAACCTCTACGGAAAACAGTGTGGAGAACTCATAAAAAAACTAGAAATGAGCCTACCATATGACCTGGTTATACCACTCCTTGGCATATACTCAAAGGACTCATCCTATTGTAGAGACACTTGTACAACCATGTTTGTTACTCTTTTTCACAGTAGCTGAGAAATGAAAGCAACCTAAGTGCCCCTCAACTGATGAATGGTTAACAAAAATGTGGTATATTTACATAATGGAGTTTTATTCAGCAGTGAAAAAAGATGAAATAATGACATTTGCAGGTAAATGGATGGATCTAGAAGCTGTTCTATGAAGTAAAGTAACACAGACTTAGAAAAACATATGACTTATGTTCTCCCCCACATGTGGATCCTAGCACCAAATCCTTTTAAATTCCAGGTCCTTTTAATAAGGTGATGCTATCTATACAGAAGTCCCTTCTGCACGAAATAACTACCATCATCACGACTTTAGCTGAACCTGATCGCTAAACATCACAATTAAGTCTTTTTGATGGTTGTGCTCATTCATTAGATGGAGGCCAAGCAGGGTCATTGGACCTTCACAGGATTATCCAGCCACTCTTCCCAGCCAACCCTATGTAATTTGGTTGTAATCACACATGGCTTCCTGAATTTGGAGAGGGCTAAAGTATACAAGCTGGGAAAGGCTAGAAAGAGTAGGCATGACCCATGCTAGATAAAGCTCAATAAATTCATTGGCTCCCCAGTAAAACTTTAATCAAACATTGGCTTGACACTAGAACCTGAAAAGGGAAAGCATTGCTTAGCATCTCCAGGAAAAGAAGTCTCACAACAGATGGAAATTTTATTTGTTAATGCTATTACATCTCATAATTATTTAAAAAGAAAATGAGAATATAAAAGATGTTTAAAGGATATGGGAATGGAGATATTTTCCCAAGTAGAAAAAATGAAAAAGCCTAAGCAAGTGATGAAGTTCTCTAAAGGATGAGATGAAAATAATATACACACAATCTTAAAATTTCTATGGTTATAGTTTAGTTAATTAGTTTAAAGAACAAAATATATATCTATTCAAGGTTTATCTGAGAATATTTGGTTTTTTTACCCAAGCCTTATCTACCTAACACATGACAATTAAAAGTACCAGACTGGTGGAACTAACCTTATTGGATGTTTAACAGCCATAGTTTGAGGCCTATACTAATGTGGTCAGAGGGACTTAAATGACAGCTTTTGCCCCTTGCCCTCCAAGGTCGACTAAGTTCCATGGTGTTGCAGGTTCTCCTCAGGCCAGCTGTGAAGACCCTGACCTGGATAGGGTCCCATGCCAATTGGGGGGCGGGCAAGAGGCACTGAGTCAACACACAGACCCTGGGAGTCAAGCAGAAGCAAGCACTAGGCGAGGTGCTGCAGGCTTGTTCAATGCAGGAGGGGGCAGGCCTTATATTTCCCTTTTCTCCGCCCCCAAGTCCCTTTAGTCAGCGTATCGTTTTCTGATTAGTCCACACCACGCAGTCTGTCAGCAGTGACTGGGCTCACGAGCAGGGTTCAGAGGCATGGGCTCCTTTTGGCGGGCTATTTGTGGACCAAGAAGTGAAGTGAATTCTCACTGAATCCCAGGGCTCTGAGTCCACGCCATCTTTGGAGGCCTCCTGCTGCACCATGGGACTATGGAACATCACTCAAAATGTCCTGTAACTCTGGTGAGTCACCTGTCCTCTTGTTCAGGAAGGACGTGGAGATCCCATGAGACGGACTTGAACCAGTGTCCAGTCTACAAAGAAGAGAGTTACCTCAGGGAAAACATCTCATTTATGCTTCCAAGTGAAGTCAGACATGGTCAAACAGGACGTTTGACTTATCTTCACTTAGCTGGAACTGGTAAAAGAAAGGATCCAGGAGCTCCTCCCTCTTGTCTTTACTTCTCCTTCACATTGCCTATTCACGATTCAAAATTCAAAGAGTTTCTTTTCCCCCTAGAGATAAGAGTTATGCAATTTGGAATTCTTTTAGATAGACCACTGAAGGGGTACTCCAATTGCCTCACCCTGCATCCCTGTTCATCATGGAAGAAGCCAGAGTGGTCTGCATCCCTATTCCCTACTGGCAATTTGGGTAACCTCTTCAGGGGATGGTGTGACATCATGAGGTAGGAATTGGCTAGGCAGTTAGGGTAAAAAGACCCCAAAGAACAGCCAGTTTCTTGGCTAAAACTCACAGTGTCCTTGGGCCTCTTAGCAACATACTCCATTCCAAAGGCCAAAAATGTCCAAAATGTTTGGGAGCTTTTATCTAATCTTTTAAAGATTTTAGGGTTACCTCTTCAGAGGGGGCAGTGTTAGAGTAGCCAATAGCCCCATTAAAAAAATAAAGCAAAAGAAAGAGTACACGAAGTTATCAGAAAAAAGTGATGGAGAGATATGGGAGGAGTTGGAGGGGAGAGAGTGGGCATGGGTTTGATTAAAACACCTCTGAGTATGCATGTATGAGATTATCAATACATTATTTTAAAATTTTAAATGTGTTAAAAAATTAAGGAAAAAAAAAGACATACCTGGAATCATTTGCAATAAATGTCATTAGATTCTGTCCCCACTGACATTCACCTCTGGTGTGTTTATTTCTCTGAACAGGTCTTGCAAGGATATGAATGTGGTGCTGAAAACTCCCTTTGTGTTGACCTCTGTTTGCTTTGCTTTTCACCCTGCAAGAGGAAGACCTGCTGTCAAGCAATGTTGGCCCAGCACACAGCCACGAGACTCATGACAGAGCCCTCAAACATTGATGGGCCAAAGTGATGTATGCTTATGATAATTCCTGACTTTTTTTTAATCTACCTGGAATCTACATGTTTGTAGAGGACACATGTCATCTAGATGGCACTATCCAGCCTGTCACTTATCCAGGCACCTTGTGTTCTTATTACAAGACTTGTTGTGGTAGGCAAAAGGTTTGCTCCAAGAGGGACTGACAAACTGGTTCCCCAAGAGAGGACATACAGAGTAATAGTTGGGCTGCTCAATGTCCTGCAAAAAAAGCTGAATAGAGAATGGTAGTAGTTGACTCATGTTGAAAGTAAAAAGATAGTGGTGCTACCACTAAAAAAGAATGCAAAGATGATGGCGATCATGAAATGGGACCTGAAGAACAGTAAATGGTGTGGCTGACTAGCTGGGATAGCTACAGTTCTCTTTAGGGCCGTCTTGGCCCAGAGAGCATGGGAAGAGTCAGTTACTTTCCTCAACTCTTCAACTTCGGTGGGACTTACAGCCCTACGCATATTGTTTCATCTTATATATCTACTTAAACTGAATTCATGGTAAATGGACTTTCAAAATAAGCATGTGCCTTTCCTCTCTGTACTCGAGCTCAGGGTGGCACAGGGAAGGGATACCTGGGACAGGCAAGATATAAGCATGTCCTGTTAGGCCATGTCATTTATCCAGAATGTGTTCATGCTTCTTCATTGCTATCATTAATTTTCTGATTTACTTAACTACATTGGTGTCTTTATGATCTTGCCTATTTTAGAAACATAAGGATCAGAAGTGCTGCTGGGTGGTGAGGAGAGGACCCTGGGCCTCCCTGTGACACTTGTGCACTCTGTCTCACAGGCTCCAACCTTGTCTGGGGCTCTCGAGTGAAGCAAGGTAAACAAGAATCTCTCTCAATTTGTTGTGATTCTGAATATAGGCAAACAGAGGGGAAGGGAGGGAAGGAAGGGAAGGCTGGACTAGTCTGAGCGTTCTGTCAGGGCAGTGACTTGGGAAATAATGTTTCAGTGACTGTGTTCCTGTCTAGTTATTAGCAAACACAAACAGGCTGTTTGATAAGGGCAGAGTTTACACCTCTGGAGCATGCTGGTGGTAGAATGCTCTAGGGAGAATTTCTTCCAAGGGCAGCTTGGGAGCAGCGTCAGACACTGTTCTCTGCATGTTGTAGGGACATGACAGTAATCAGGGCTGGCAAAGCAGTTTCTCACTTACCAACTGTGTTTAGGAGCCTAGTCTCCAGTTCAAGACTCCCGGAAAACGTAGTTTTCTTTACCCATGAGTGAGAGATGCAAAGCACAAGCTATGTATCTTACTCATCTTTGCCAGAAAAGAATGCTGGGAATTTTGGCAAACCTGCCATTGGAGCCCAGTTGTAAGTCTTGAGACTTTCTAGACTGCACAGCCCTTGGTGCTCTTGCCCTCTCTAGAGAGCTCTTCAATCTGAGCCTGGGAAAGGAGAGCATGGATGACCTTCTCGCCAGTCAAAAGGCTCACGGTCTACCCAAGAGGCAGGAGCAGCGTCAGTGCAGGTGGACAAAGTGACAGCAGAGCTGTCAGCCTTTACTCCTTTTTATGAACTGCCCCATGTTATGAGCTGTCAGGATTCAGGGGATCAGAGAACTTCTTGACCATAACAGCTAAACTTGTGGGAATATTTTCTGGCCAACTCTTTCCCAAGATGAATTTTTGTTTGAGACGGTCTTCCTGGAGCCCCAGATGGCTTGGAACTCCCTGTGTAGACCAGGTTGCCCTTGATCTCACAGAGAGCCTCCTGCCTCTGCCGCTAGATCTGGCTATGCAGGATGACTTTTGTGCTTGCTCTCCTTACACAAAGTTTGGGACTCTGTGTTTTTCACTGCCATGACTTAGAGTCATAAACAGAAATACGAAAAGGAAGGAGGAGGCCTGGAGGGAAGTCTCCTGTAGGGAGGGCCATGTGTTCAGTCTTCATTACTGTCTGGGAAGATCTAGCAGTGCCCTGAACGTGAAATGCAGTTTGCAGGGCCCTAGAGAACCCAGGCCTGTGTTGTGAGGTGGACAGAGGTCCGGAGACCAGACCTGAGTAATAACAGTAAAGCTCTGGAAGTCACTGATCTACCTTTCTATGCTGCACTTACAGCAAGAAACCAGACCCAGAGCAGGGAAAGGATTCACCCCAAATGACACAGCACCACACATGGACCTGAATCCAGGTCTCCTGAATTCCAGTCCTGGGGCTAGTCTCTTACCATACTGATTCTCAATCCCGACATCCTAATTTAGTTCCTATGAATGTGAATCCCAAAGTAAAAGACAGTGCTGGAGATGCCAAGTGGGACAATGTTCTTCCCAGGGGCACCAGGAGGATCTGCTCAGTAATTCCATCTTCTTGCAGGCTTCTGAGTTTCAGGAGGGGCATCCAGCCAAAGTGGTGTGTTTTATATAGCAAATTTCAGGCTGTGCTTTTTCCAGCTTCACATCTTCCCATCCAACCCATGAATCAGGACACTAGGAAGCAATGCTTCCACAGAGAGCATGTGAGACAGAAGGTAACAGGTCCCTAAGGATCCCCAACCTCCTCTACACCCCACACTCACACTTGAGGCTCTCTTTCTCCCTGAGAACCTTAGTCAACTCTGATGGGTGTTAGTCTGAGTTTCTGATAGTGTTTTTCTATATGTTTCCAGAAAACCAATGACCAAAGCATCGAGATAAAGAGTCTGCTGAATGCTGGTCCTTGGGCAAGGCCTGCTTTATTAAACTTTACACACCCAAGGTTCAGGGATTGTAAGAGCCAGGGAGGAGATGCATGACCACGTGGAAACAAAGTCCTACAAGCTCCTGGAAACCACCTCATATGCTTCTGTGGCAGTGGTGTCAGCATAGACAAGTCCCCTGCAAAAATGGGAGTCTTTGGCTCAATAAAAGGATATGATTCCCTCAATGATATCAATCTATAAATGCATCCGTCTGTTTAACATGCCTTCTCCAGTGGTTTTTAAGAGTTGAAGACACCATGTGTGGTGGCTCACATGTGTAATTCCAGTACTTAGGATTCCTGGATGAGGTAGGATTGCCATAACTTAGAAGCCAGCCTGGTCTACATAGTAAGTTCCAGCCTAGGGAAGAACCATTGGGTACAACTTGCCTTTGAAATTTCTGGGGGATTTTCTGTTATTGCAAGGCTGGAGGCTTCTAAAATCCTGTCTTCTACTGTGGACCTGAGCATCATCTGATAACAACAATAAAAATGACTTCTTTATTTTCCCTAGAAGGGCCAGTTTTGGACATCAGTGTGCTTTGGGAAGCAGTGTCTGAACAATGAATGTAAAGTAAGTTCTAATTTTGTACATAACTGTTACACATATTTTATGAGATGTGTAACTAACTGTTTCGTTTTGATTGTACTACCGAAAATGATAATGTGTTTTATTTTCAAACTCCACTTTTTCATTTCTGGAATATAAGAAAACAGTAGGATTTTGTATATTAACATATACTATCCTACAAACTTATTACAATCAAATTGTAATAAGTGTTTGTCAACTTTTTGAGTGGTACCAGGGATTGAATCTAGTGCTTCATGCATGCTCAGTTAGAACTCACTTATCCCTGGGCTACACACCTGTTCTCATTTTACTCTGATTTTGAGACAAAGTCTCACTGTTTACAAGCAGACATTAAACCTGCTATGTAGCCCACCTACAAGGATCTGCTCTGTTAACCACCTAACAAGCATCATGTGGAGTCCATGAGGACCTTCCAGTCCCAGGTAGTACTTACATGAGGAAGCAGGAGAAAGTTTCCACGTCAGGAGTCTTGAGGCAGGTGCCTGCGTACTAAGGTCTTGAAATGCTACCAGTGCCGGAATTTCCCTTAGATGCTGTCCAGTTTGGACAAGTAGTTTTCTGTGGGGTTGGCCTGGAGATTGGCTGGACCACCCTCACCATATAACCCTTGAGGAGGTGGTGCTGCATTCACTGGGGGCTCAATAGGGACCAGGTGGACAACTGGAAATGGGACTGGTGGGTGAGGGTCCTGAGCAGGGCATCCTATACCCCTAGCAAAGATTCCTGGAACATTACAATTAAGGGTGTCTGAGTGAGGACAGTGTTGGCCTTGTGTACAGGCTGGGTTGGTCTCCCTGGTGTCCCAGATTGGACAATGTTCAAAGACACAATTGTATTCAAGCCATAGTCCCCATCTCCTGCCACCAAAGACATCCCAGGCAGAACAGATAGTACTAGGGGATTCCTGGGGGGGATTCCCACAGTCATGAGGGGTGCTGTGGGCTCCCATAATAACTGGGGTGCTGGTTGTGGGGCAGATGGGAGAACAGACAGGGTTCCAAATGTAGGCATGGAGGCACCAGGGTTGATGTTTATGTTCAGACCCAGCACTGAAGAGGCTGTGGAGATAAAGGAGAGGGTGGATAGAAGAGAGGGAAGGAGGGATGCTCTCTGGCTCTAGTACTCAGTGGGAATCAAGGTAGGAATCTCAAGGCCAGGGGGAAGAAGAGGTTGTACTGAGGTAGATGCTCCATCCTTATTTTGGTCCTGGTACGTGGGGGTCAGAATGACTCCTGTAATGGACAGATGGTATGGACAGCATAACTTGCACAGTATGTTGTCTGTATGATGGTCAGTCACAGGACTGTGTTGTTTATTTGTCACAAATTCAGATGAGCTGAGTCCTCTTCCTTCTCAATCCCTCTAAAAATCATTTGGACAGTCAGAGGTGCTGCTGACTCCTCAGTGGGACAGCTACTGGGCAGGGACAAGTTTCCTAGAGTGTAGCTATCGTAAGACTGCAGAAACTCTGTTCTCACTACCAACTGCCCCCTTCCTGACAGGTGGGTACTGTTGGGTTTCCAGAGGTCACCTCTGTTACTAGTTGTGAACTAACATGTCTCCATAGAAAGTAGAAGTATTGGGGGTTAGATAGGAAATCCAAGGACTGAAAACAGGTTTTTCTTTATAAAAACCATAGTTGAGGGACTGGAGAGATTGCTCAGCACTTAAGAACACTGGTTGTTCTTGCAGAAGACCCGGGTTTGAGTCCCAGCACACATATGGCAGCTAACAACTGTCTGTAACTCCAGTCCCAGGGGATCCGACAGCCTCTTCTGACCTCCACGGGCATTGCACGACATGGGTGCACTTACCTACATGCAGGCAATACGCGTACACATAAAATAAAAATAATAAAACTTGTAAAAAAACATATTTGGGGCTGGAGAGATGGCTCAGTGATTAACTGCACTGGCTAGGTTCACATCCCAGCACCCACATGACAGTTAACAACTGTTCATAACTCCAGTTCCAGGGCATCTGATGCCTTTTTCTGTCCTCCACGGGCACTGCATAACATGGTACCCTAACATACATGCAGGCATAACACTTATACACATAAAAAATAAAAAGTAAAATAATACTTGAAATTGTTCAGGAAAAAGTGATGGGGAGATATGGGAGGAATTGGAGGGGAGGTAGACTTGGAGGGGAGGTGGGAGGGAGTTGGAGGGGAGGTGGATTTGATCAAAACACCTTATATGCATGTGTGAAATGCTCAGTAAATTTTTTTAAAAGTTAAAAAAAGCCCACATGTGCATGAAATGCAAGCTATAGATTCACACATGCTTGATAAGTATTCGACATGCATTTCACATCCCTTTACTCTCTTCAAATACACATAACCCCCTAAAAACACAGAATATTCACATAAACTATCAAAGAACCCTCACATTTGTATGTAAACTCCACCCCCATCACAAACATAAATAATAGCTTTTACACCTCTCTCAGACAGTTTCACTGTAATCCCAAGCATGAGGCACAGAGGAACCCCACATAGTGACAGCTGAATTAAGAGTCCTTTCATTAGTAATAGGTGACAGTCAAGAGGGACTATCACCAGAAAGAATTCTGGACCCTGAGTAGAGGCAGAACAAGGATTATAAAGCTTAAAAACCACAATTACACCATGCCAGGGGCAATACCCATAACCATAGTTATATCAGATCATCATAGTTAAACCAGACCGGGGCAGGTCAATTAAAAGGGGAAGATGGGGAAAGTGGGGAGTGTTCGGCAGGGAGGAGAGGAGGGAGGGATGTGCAGAGAGCCAAGGTGGTGGGGGGAAGTCAGGAGAGGTGGAGATGGTGGGAGGCGGGTGTTATTGAGGGGAGGGGAGGGATAATGGCACTGGGACTGGGGAGGGAGGAGGGAGGCTGGATGGGAGGAGTAATAATAGAGATGAATGAATCTTGGGGGACTAGGAAACCCAGAGGGAAATGTGATGCCCCTGAAACCCCATGAGAAATGTCCATACAGTGTCAAAGAGTTAGTGCATAGGGAGAAAAACAGTCAGTGGTCCAACCCAGCCCTAAATTCCAATACCCATAATGACCAGCATGACAAACTACCTCTCTTGGTGCAATAGTGGCACTCTTGTCTTGGGGGATAATCAGCAGCTATCTAATTGGACTTAAAGCCCTCTCAGTGGGAGTGAGGGCATCGATCCTAGAAGAAACTCTTTCATATCTCAAGATACATGTAATTCCTTTACCATATGCCAAACATAAATTTTTATACTACAGACAAGCATACCGTACACCACTCATCAAAGAAGCTTCTTTTTGCAACAGACAGAGGCTACTGCAGAGTTCCACAACTGGTCAGACATAGGAATATATGTCTGAGAGATTCCAAGTACTAGGTGACACATCTACAGTTGAACCTCTACACCTAAGGTTCATGGAACATAGCAGAACAAGGGACAGAGAGAAAATGAATGTATCCCTCAACTCACCAGTAAAGCTTTCTTACAGAAGAGTGCAATGTATACAGACGGCCACAACTGTATTTAACTGATAGCAGTCTTTTTGAAAATAATTTATTGACAATTTCATGCACCCATATAAGCATATAAGATGTTTTGACCAAATCCACGCCACTCCCTCCCCTCCAACTCCTACCATATCTCTCCATCACTTTTTCCTGAACAACTTTCCAGGACCCCCTTTTTTAATGGGGCAACTCTAATATTTCCCCCTCTGGAGCAGTAACCCTAAATTCTTTTAGGGATTAGATAAGAGCTCACAAATACTTTTGACATTTTTGGCCTTTGGGACAGAATATGTTGCTAAGAGGCCCAGGGACATTGAGACTTTTAAGCCAAGAAGCTGACTCCTTCCTTTGAGGTGGTTTTACCTAACTGCCTGGCCAATTCCTACCTCCTATTCTTATGACACCATCCCCTGAAGAGGTTATCCAAATTGCCAATAGGGAATCAGCGCACAGACTGCTCTGGCTTCTTCCATGCTGAAAAGGGACACAGGATGAGGCAATTAGGGTACCCCTTCAGTGGTTCTATCTAAAAGACTCCCAAATTGGATAACTTAACTGTAGGGAGAAAAGAAAGTCCTTGAATGGTGCCTAGATATGAAGGAGAAGTAAAGGCAAGAGTAGTTAGCATTACAAGTTCTAGACACGGTACCAGAAAAAGGTCAGAACAGGGCAAATTTCAAATGTTCTTAAAAGAGTCCATTGGAATTTCTTGACGAGAGCTTCCAAAAGCATCACTCAATTGGGTTTCTCCTCATTTTTCTTTTGTCGTCCAAGGCTGGAATCGAGAGTGATGGATTCAGGATTTGTTTTGTTTTCAGGCATTTAGATAGCTATTGGAGTGACTAGAATCGTGTCAGTTCCCTCTCAAGGCTTCTAGATAACGGGAGAAAACAAAATTAGCCATCATTTTAGAGCAAGAGTGGTTTGTCTCCCTTAGCTATAGGTGGGCACTACAGTATTGCAGACCAAGATTTGAAGTCTTACATCTGAGCAGCACTTTGTGATTAGAAACAAAATCATCAATGAGAAATAATTGTCTAAATAACATTGTATATGGACTTAAGTCTAATGTCTGGGAAGTGTAATCCCTTGAACTCTTAAAGAAATATATTGATCACTTTAATCATTGGTTATACTTTCCTTTTGGGTGCTAAGGACTGTATACAGTTGGCCCAAATAAACCAATTTATTTTTACTTTTAATGTCGTTTGAGGATATGTTCTTGGGGGTCACATGGGCTTGGGAGGAGCTCCTGGCTCCTTTTATCAGTTCTATCTATGTGAAGATCAGTCAAAGGTCATGCTCTACTGTGTCTGGTTTCACTTGGAAGCGTGGAGGAAATGTTTCCACTATGTTGACCCTCCACTTTGTAGACTGGACACTGGTTCAAGTCCATCTGGTGGGGTCTCCATGGTCTCCCTGAACAAGAGGATAGGTGACTTTTCAACCCTTTATTTTTATTGATATCCTGAGACATAACATTA